CCACCCGAGGAGAAGGTACGGGTGCCGGAGCTAACTGGTTCCCGGTCATCCTCACACTGGGCAGCTGCTGTCCCCACCCGAGGAGCTGGCATGGGTGCAGCGACAGGCAGAGGCTCAGCCGGCCTGGACACCGGAGCAGGGACCAGCTGGACCTCAGCCTCCCTCACCTGAAGCACTGAAACAGGTGCAGGGGAATGCTGGGCCCGAGCTGCTCTGGGAGCAGGAACACAACGGTGCAAAGGAGCAGGCTCAGCAAACACAGACTCCTCTAAAATGGAGTTTAGCTTCCTACCACCACCACGTCTAACAGTCTTAACAGTTTTCACAGTCTCAGAATTTAATAATAATATAATAAACTCAAAACCCCTGGGTCAACGACCCAGGCATCCTAACAATAAAGCTGGGTTCTGAAAACTAAGAAGGAGCTCCTGATGAGATTCATATAAACAAATTTAATCCTCATGGCATGAGGATGAAGAGTAATTTAATCCATTTAGCCCTGCTCTTTATAAACTGACATAAAGTTTATGTTTAGTCTGAAAATTTTTAGCACCATCTTCTGTTAGTACAGAACATCATGTGGTTGGTTGGTTGTAGCTAATAGACTTACATTAGTTTATGTTAGCTAACTAGTGACCGAATGAATTACTCAGAGTAAAATAAGGAAACTAAAACTAACAATCAGTTTACAGGGATCACTTTAGTGCTGAAACAGTGAGTTTGATGTTCAGAAATATTCAGAAGATATAGTGTCCACTTTCATTGCCCGTCTCTTTGGCAGTAATTAGCAGAAACATTCAGCCATAACTGAATTTAACTGACCAGAAGATGACATTTATCAAAATCTCTGAGGGATTTAGGGGATCTCAACATTATATTTAAAATTAGTTTGACTTTTGATTTACCTAAAATAATATGAAGGTGTATCCTATCAAAGAGAGATCTTAATGAAGGTGATTTATTTTTCAGCTCCAGAAACATGAATGAACCAATAAATGTGACAGATGGCCAGACCTGTGATTATGTCAACACATCAGTCAACACTTTCTTTATTCTGGTCTACAGTCTGGTCTTTCTGGTGAGTTTTAAATCTTCAGATTGTGCTCTGATGGAAACGAGGTTCTCTGTGAATCTACCAAAGTCCTGTCATCCTCTCTGTGTCGCTTCAGGTGGGTTTACCCCTCAATGGCTTCATCATGAAGTTTTACTTTTGTGGAGCTCAGCAGCAGGCATCGGGCAGTTTGATGGTCTACATGAAGAACCTGACAGCTGCTGACTTCCTGCTCTGCCTCTCTCTGCCACTGCGCATCAGCCACTATGCCAGCAGCTCTGTCATCATTCGGCAGCTCTACTGTAGTTTTGGAGCTTGTGCCATTTTCCTCAACATGTACGCCAGCATCATATTTATGGGGTCCATTGCTGCTGACAGGTAAGGAACCTAGTAAAACCAGAATAATGTGTTAGTTATGAACCCTGTGCTCCAGATCAAAGTGTAGAAATCTCCTTTGGACTTAATAATTAATTGACCG